TACCTGCTAGACTTTCTGCACGTCGGGATGGTTTGTTCCTGCACTCTCAGTAAGGCTTCTTTAAAGTACAGCCAGCTTTCCTGGACCCCTCTCCCCTTCAGAGTGGCATCCCAGGTGATCCTGCCCATGAGGTTACCTTCTGTGAGCAAGTTGAAGTCTGCTTTTCTGAAGTCTAAGGTCCTTACTCTGCTGCTCTCCATCCTTCCTTTCTTCAGGATCCTGAACTCAGTCATCTCGTGGTCACTGCTGCCCAAGCTGCCATCCACTACTACATTCTCCACCAATTCTTCTCTGTTTGTGAGCAGCAGGTCAAGAAGAGCACAGCCCCTAGTTGGCCGCTCCAGCACTTGCACGAGGAAGATGTCCCCAACACGCTCCAAAAACTTACCGGATTGCCTGCACACCCCTGTACAGGCAGTCCTCTGACTTACAACACAATGGGTTCCTGAAAACCGCATCTTAAGTCAAAACCTCATAACTCAGAACCAATTTTCCCATAGGAACAATGTTATACAAGGGAAATCGGTTTCTTATGACGCGCGACACAGCTGCCTTTAGCTGGTAAGTCTGTTGTGGTGGGAGGGATGGGGGAAGAAAGGGGCATGGGGGGACTGATCAATGCCCCCACAGCAAGGGAGGGATTGGGGCTAGGGACTGGAACAGGGGCTGGGGCAAAAGCTGCCCAGCCAAGGCAGAGGACTGCGGGGAGGGGGTGGGGTGGCTCCCACCACTGTGCTCCATCTGTCTGGGAGCAGCTTATCCGGTGGCTTCCGCTGCAGCTCCCACCACTGGTCCGGGGGGGGGGATGGGCGCATGTGCCCCCAGATCTGCATGGGGCTGCACTCCAGGCAGGCAGTGGAAGGTGCTGAGAGTGGAGACTATGCCCTCCTGCACTCACCCAGATAGATTTTGCCATTTTGCAGTGAGTTTGCTGCAGGCTGGCAGAGTTCCACCCTGCAGGGAGCTGGGAGGCAGCGGGAGGAGGACGGTGTTGTGTCTTATTGGGTTTTCCTACTACTGTCCCTTTAGGGGCAAAGCCCTCATGTTCAGCACTGCAGGGCTCAGTTGCTTGTGGCAGTTTTGCAGCACTGGGGACTCCATGTGCTCTGCCATGAGGAGCCAGGGGCTTTCTCAGTTTCTCTCCCTCCACAGGACTGGACTGTGTCAAGTCAGAGGCAAAGCAAGTATAAGTTCTGCATACATGTACTGAGGGCAATTGTTAAGGTCCACCCGGGATATGATTCCAGAGAATTATAATGATAAATAACTGTTAGTTCAACACAGGAGTGCCCAGAGTGTTGTTGCTGAACTCACAATATATCAGGTGGTAAGACAGGTTGCGCCACATGCATGGACATGCAGAGCACCTCCAGAAGTTAAGTAGGGGATAGGGGGATTGAGGCCCCTGTAGGGAGGGAGCTGGGCTGGGCTGGGCTGGGCTGGGGTGCTACCCAGCTGGGTGGGGCTTGGGGCCCGGGGCTCAATGCGCAGCTGCAGGGCTCCAGCAGAGAGCAGGATCGGGCCACGGGTGGCTTGTCCAGGGGAGGGTGAAGGACACTCCCCGCTGCTGCTGCGTGCACTCCCAGGGGGCAAGGGGGACCTGCGCACCCCAGATCTGTGTGCAAGGCAGGTGCAGGAGTTATTGGGAGGGCTTCAGTCTCTCTAAAATTCACCGTAGCTCCCCCATTGCCCCTGCTGCCCACCCAGAGTGCAGTCTGGTGCAGCTCTGGCCCCACCCGCTCTCGCCCTGTTTCCCTCCCCTGGGGCCTCCACAGTCCAGCCGCACCCAGTCATGCCCACTGGGCTGCAGAGGCCCCAGGGGAGGGAAGCAGGGCAGGAGCCCCCAGCCGTAGCCTGCACCTGCCCCCTGGGAGTGCGCGCAGCAATGGGGAGCGGCCCTCCTCTTCCCCCTCCCCTGGACAAGTCACCTGCAGCCCCATCCTGCTCCCTGCTGGGGCCCTATAGCTGTGCATTGTGGCCCCAGGCCCCAAGCCCCACCCTACTGGGTAACAGCCAGAGCCCAGCTGCCTCCCGCCCTCCCAGGGCCTCAATCCCCCTCTGCCCTACTTATCTTCTGGAGCTGCTCTGCAGGCAGCCTGAGGCCACATGCATTTCCATACACGTGGCTCTTCCTGTCTCAGCGCCCTCCTCCCACTGCCTCCCAGCTCCCCACAGGCTGGAACTCTGCCAGCCTGCAGGGAGCTCACTGCAAAATGGCAAAATTCATGAGTTTCTCTTGTAAAATGAGAAATCTGTGTTTGCCTCTGGTAAAAGGTAAAATCCACAGTTTACTTTGTTTTTCTGTAGGAAACAGAAAACCCGGATCCCTGCTTATGAGCTCCTGAAGCCCTGTTAATCTTGCAAGCAACAGGTCAGGCCATCAAATGTCCCCAGGTAACTCTCTCCTGCAGGCGAGTGCCAGAAAACTAACCCCTGCTAGCCTCAGCCTTGGGGTTTATGTGCCCAGGGCCCTGGCTCCTTCCAATCAGCTGACTGTCCAGGTGCCAGCTAATTCCCTCATTAGCCTGCTGCCCAGGCAACCTGAAGCTGTGGAGCTCTGCCTCAGTTCACAGGGCTCTCTAGCTAAGCTGGTTCTGTTCTTACCAGAGTAGGATTGCCTTAACACCCTAGACACCATCCATGACAGTGCTCCAGTCATGCGAGCCCCACCTAGTCTCTGTTATTCCAATCGCATCATAGTTCCATGACAGTTCCGATTCTTCCTGCTTGCTTCCCAGGCCCCATTCATTCCTGTACAGGCGCCTGAGGTATCTAGCCAATTGCCCTGGTTTCTCAGGAAGAATGAGAACGCCTCCCCTGTTGCCCTCTTTTGTTTGCTCTTCCTTGAGGTCACCAACTCCCCCACTTACCTCAGGCCTTTGGTCCACCCCCTGGTGAACCTAATTTAAAGCCCTCCTCACTAGGTTAGCTCATCATTTCTAACTGATGAGCTCCCAATTTATAACAGAATATTTGCTTATTTGTCTATTCTTGTATTTTGTACTTATGAATTTCATTCCTTTTATAGTCCTTAGATTATCCAGTTCTTTTTGTATATCCTATCTTCCATATCAATGAGGCCCCGTAATTTTGTGTTATCAGCAAATTTCATATAGACAAGCCCCACCCAAATGGCTGGATATAGACTTGGCAGTCAAGTGAGTGGCAGCAGCAGTGTGAAAGCTAACACAGCTATTGCATTTACAAAGGAGGACAAGTAAATAGCACATTTACTTGTGATTAGCTACTGCGCGGCAGTGCTTCTGTAGATGCCTGACCGGGAGCAAACGGGCTTCCAGTCACCCAGCCAGCAGGCGGTGGGAGATTGCTCCCTGCCCCCAGGAGCTGCCTCCAACTGGCACAGGCTCTGCTGCTGGAGCCCAGGCAGGGAATATGCCCTGGCAGCAGGAAGCTCCCAGCCCCCTGCTCCAAGATTGCAATCTGGGAGCAGGGGCTGGGAGATCTTTATCAGGATAAGGATCTCCCAGCCCCCACTCCTTGATTGTGGAGAGGGGGCTGGGAGCTCCCTGCTGGTGGTAGCTGGGAAGCCTGTTCCCAACCCAGCTCCACGATCTCAGAGGTGGATGGGGAACAGCCTCTCCAGCCTCTCCAGCATGATCATGGAGCTGGGCAGGGAACAGACTCTCAGGCCCCCACCCCATGATCATGGAGTGGGGTCTGGGAACTATCCCAGGCAGGGGCAGATCCTAGCCCCATGCCCCATTTGAGTTATCAAGGCACAGGGCTTGGAAAGAACTGCAAGGGTGAGGCAGGTCCCAGCCTCTGCCCCATCCACTACTGGGGCTGCTAGCAGAGAGCCCCTGGCTAGGGGGGGATTCCCTGCTAGCTGCCCCACCGGTGGATGGGGCAAGGGACTGTGACCTGTCCCTGCCCCTCCCCTGGAGCTCTTTCCAAGTCCCCTGCCCCTGATCGGGGAGTCAGGGCCAAGGGATCACTGATGCCAGGGCAGGGGGACATTGTCCCTGCCTGGGCTTTGGTGGCAGAGCCTGCCCCAGCAGCAGACAGCCTCCTGGGGGCAGGGAGCAATATCCCATCCCTTGCCAAGAGACAGCTGTCTCTTGGCCACATGCCCCCTGCCAACCCCCCAAGCTAGCACCCAGGGGAAGCCTAGAGGTCCCCCTGGCTGCTGCAGAGGGCTGATGCAGGACCAGCAGGGGTGGAAGCAAATTGCTGCCATGAGCAGCAAATCTGCTCCTGAGTCCCTGCAAGTGTAAATACCTGCCTGGAAGTATACACTCATGAGTAGTTTACTCACGAGTAAACTGCTCCTAGATCTAATGCACGTGTAGAGGCACCTACTGACTATTCACATTGCTCATCTGCTCCATGGTAACTGTCTATGTGCATGTGTTTTGCTCTGTAGTAATGAAATAACAAATTGCAGAAGTTTACCTCTTAATTTAACAGATTTTAAATTGCCATTTAAAGTTTGAGAACCCCTGACCTATGTCATTTATGAGTTTTTGTAAATTTTAGACAACGACTCTGAAACTTGCTGCTGGCAGTGTATCTGTGTTACTACAGACTCTGTCTTCTAAGCACTGTCCCAGAATCATTAGCAAACAGGCACTTCTTTGATTCTAAAACTGTAACTGCCTCCAGCTAACAGATCTTTATTTTAAAATAATGGATTTTCCAATTTTAAAAGAACCAAACACACTTCACTGCCATGTGTAGAAAAAGCACACGTAAACGGACCTTTGCCTTGGTGAACTTGTTTTTATGCGTTTGCCAGAACCAAAAACACAGTGGATCACTTTATCCATTGACTCCAGCTCACTATTACCATTAAAGCATCTAGTGGATTATTTTTTAGCATAGTCCTTTGAAGGTGACACATTTATGCATACACATGGTTTCCAATCCTTACAGTGCTGGTAAAAAGAGCTTTGTTCTTCCTGTATAAATGGGAACTAGAATGAATATTTACAGGATACAAATAAACAAGGAAGAAAATAAATTATTATTCATTTTCTTACCAGAATGTCTTTAATGGCAATTTGCATCACTTTTTCAGCTTCATTTATCTCCAGAGGCCTAGCAATGGATTCTGTTCTCACTTCCTACAAAAGACAAACAGACCACTATACTCAAGCACTGCACAAGAAAATTAATATTCACAGAACTGAAGGTGGTCAAGCAACTGTGACAAAGCTATTTTCATAATAAATTAAATAGAATGTAATATTTATATACCACTGCTCAGAGGATATCACAAAATGGGAACCTATCAAAAAGGTCAGAGTTTCCAGAGGTCAGGATTAAGAATGAGCAATTAAGACTTAATTTCAAAATGGGATGAATTTTATTCCTCTGAGCTGAAAGTATCCTTACAGGTGCAGTTTTAGTCCCCTGCCATTAATGTTAAAGGAAATATCCCACTTACCTTGTTCAAAAAGTACCTCAGAAAAATTATTTTTTTGTCTTAAAAAGGTGATCCATAGCTGAGAATCATACAACTGATCTACTTGAACCATATAAGCAGAATGTTTCAACTATCCTAACTGAGGAGCATTCAGAACTGCTCTTATGAAGACAGCTAGCAGAAACAATCAGCAGGTACTTCCCTCCATGCCTCCTCACACATCGCGTAATGTAGATGGTCAGCATTTCCTACTCTGCTGACCAACTGACTGAGAATCAACATCCATCACCAAAACTAGTGCACTTAGCTTGCATCACAGAGGATGTGAATGTCCCTGTTAGCCTGGTCAGTTTATGAGGGAAAGAACATTCAGTTAACATCTGTCTGTATAATATTTTAGGCAAAGGTGTTTGCCAGACCAAGCCATTCCTGAAAAATGAATGCGTCTCAAGCTCAACATAAGTAAAAATGTCTTTCATTAGCAAACAGCTTGATAAGAAGTAGAAATCTCACTACAACCATAGGCAGAATATATAAATTAGAGGACTTCAGCAATACCCCAGCCTCTCTTTTTACTAGGCTGCTCCTTAAGAAAAGGGGAAAATAAAGAGGACGCATATTTGAATGACAACCTAGTAATACCTTGCTTATTTATAGAATGGCTGACCCAGAATCTCAAAGGTTTTGCAAATGTCACTGTTTTAAGCCTACCCTATGAAGTAAGTATTATAATCTCCATGATATGGATGCAGAAACAGAGGTAAGTGTAACCCAAGCTTACAAAGAAATTTACTGGTCAGTGAATACCTGTCTTGTATGCATACCAGCACAGCCTCTGGCTTCTTTACTTTTCATTCCATCCAGGAAGAGCACACACCAACTGCTGAAACTTCCTTAGCCTGACGAAGGGTTTTTGAACCCGAAAGCTTGCTTAATAATTGTTTTCCAACTATTTACATTGGTCTAATAAAAGATATCAGATTCAACCAAAGAACCTTTTCTGCCTATGTCCTTAGACCAACACGGCTACAACTTACACCCCTGTAATAGTCTACACATGCACCCATATTAGGTGCAGTAAATTAATGAACTTCACTGTAGGATCATACTGTCTGGGACAAGTACTATCCTACAGCGGAGTAATTAGGTGCGCTCAAATGCATATGTAGACTGTGACCAGGGCTGGCTGGGGAACGAAGGTGCTGCCTGCCACCTAACACCACACTGTAGCACCCTCATGCCCCAGGCAGCCCCTCCACCTCCCGACACCACCACCCAGAGCCCTGGGATGACCCCCCAGATCCCCTGACAGCCTGGGGCTGCTTAGCCCCAGCTCAAATTGTTGCAGTCCTGGACACACGTGAAGATGCTGTGCCTGGGAAGCAGCCGACTCCAGCACAAACTGCACCAGGGTTTACAGGTGCATTAATAGCACGTGTAAGCTGCGCTTAAAATTATCAAATTAAGCAAAGTATTTTACTGGAATTGTTTCGAGAGCAACTGCTTTTCCAGGCCCACAGACAAGTTAGGCTCTCTCTCAGGGCCTTGTCACACAGGTGTGGGACATGACTTCCTAGATACAACATCTGGGGGAAATTCTGCTCATGACCATCTGCTTTCTTCTCTCTCTCCTTGTTTGCAAATTTAGAACATCCCTATGGCAAATACATGTTTAGAAAAGTAAACTTGGGAAACACACACATACATATATTTATTAGTGGTCTTTTTAATGGCATGTAGTGGCTGCAAATAGGGAAGAGGAGCTATTGTTATATAATCAGCCAGTCTTCCACAAGCTACCAGTGGTTTGGGAACAACTGGTCTATTTGTTTCCATTCTTTCATTGTATCTTTCACTGATATTATCTAGGTAACTATCTTAGCTCTGATTGTCCTACAGGTTGGATTTTCTCTCTCTCTGCAGCCTGCAAAAATGGGATGACTGGCTGAGCTACAGATGTTGAGCCCATCTATAATAATGAAGGTCCCGCTCTACAAACTGCTGTGCTCCTCCTTGGCAGTGTCAAGTGCTCTTGACAGCCACTGAAATCAACAGGTGTTAAGGCTACAGACACCTCTCAAAGGGTTGGCTACATAATTTTCCCTTTAGGGCAGGGGTGTCCAACCTTTTTGAATGCGGGGCCGGATCACAAACTTTTTATCCCCCAGTGGGCCAGCAAGCCATATTCAAAGACATCACAGGAAGTGGTATCATATCAGGAAGTGATGTCACGTGACCTTTGACACCAATGAAGTTGCAGGGGTTGACATGGTGCTGGTTGACATGGCATGCGTGCCCAGGTTGACATGGTGCTGCAGGAGCCGCTTGGCTACAACTGGGCTGACCTGGTGCTGGAGAAGCCGCGGGGCCAGGCCGGGGTTAACCTGGGGCCCGCCCGGCCTGCCGGTGCCATGCCTGGGTTGACAGGGTGCTGCAGGACCTGCCTGGGCAGAACCGGGTTGGCACTGGCCAAGAAAAGCAGCATGCAGCTGAAGCTGGCTTCCCATGTGCTGTTGGAGATGGGAGGAGGCCGGCCAGGTCTGTCCCAGCCAGCAGAAGTGGCGGCGGAGCCTTGTGCTGCTCGGGACTGACTG